AGGCCACAGACCCATTCTCTCAAGGTGGCGGAGTAAACAAAACAATTGCTAGCGGGGGAAAATGCCTCAACCTGATCCCTCCCCAAATCAGACAATGAAAATCTTAACAGCACGGAGCAATGTAGTTCTGTCAGTTACCCCAATACTGTGTTCTCTCTCCACATCCCGATCATCTGTAGTTTAATATTTTAGGTAAAGAAATGTCCTCTAAGCCCTACACCCTGTGCCATTTTCTTGGCCAATTTCACTCCCAAGGTGATGCCCTACACCCTCCTCAGCCGAGCCCTCTGCTTTACAGCCCCATGGTCTACAGTCACACCGCAGCTTCCTGTGAGCCCTAAGGCTCACAGAACCTAGACTCAGATTCTACCTGTGTTCGTGGGTTAAAGAACACCCTGGGATGGAGCCCTCCTGCTGTGTTTAGAGCCTCCAATTCTTTTGTAAGTCACTCCTGCCAGTCCCCGAGCAGTGGCCTTCTACATTTCCTGCTCTAGATTCCCATTTTCATACGCTGCACTCAGATGCTTTAAAATAGCACAAAACCCGGCTAAGTCCCGCCAGCCCAGATGGCCAGTATTCGCTCGGAGCGAGGGCTGTGGGCGGTACGGCGCCCTCCCATCCCATCGGAAGGCTGCCTGACACTGTCGCCATCAACTTCCTGTCCTGCCTGTCCCTTCCCTCCTAGCAGCACTGTGAATTGATCTCTCAGCATCTGGTTTCTTCAGGTATTTCCACCAAATGTTACAATTTTGTTGGTTTCTCTGCTTCTGCTTTTTTCATTTTTTGGTACCGGGGATCGAACGCAGGTCCTTGTGCTTGTGAGGCAGGCGGTGGCACCACTGAGCTAAATCTCTGGCCCTCTGCTTTTTTCTTTTTTTTTAAATTGAGACAGGGTCTCAGTTTGTAGCCCAGGCTGGCTTCAAAACTCCTAAGTGCTGGGACTTGAGGTGTACCTGGCATTCAGAATAAATAAATAAAATTTAAAATCCTGGGGCTGCGACAGAGTGCTCGCCTAACATGCACAAGGCCCTGGGTTCAATCTATGGGGAAAATGATAGGTTCCCAGCATTTGATTCCCTTGTGGGCTTGATTCTTCCCGACTGGCTCTAAAATGGAACCAAGGAACTCTAAGGACTTCAAAAACTAAACATGCTAACAGGGCGCAGTGGCAATGCCTGTAGTCCCAGCTGCAAGAAGGCTGGAGAACAAATGATCCTGTCCCGGGAGAGAGTGCAAAAAGCTTATAGGCAAAAATAGAGCCTGTATTTGAAGTTAAAATGTTTCACGTCTCGCTATTATTCTGAAAGCTTCACAAGGGAAGGGTCCAATCTGTTAACAGTCACACCTCAAATCCCCACTGTCCATCAGTGCCTGGCATGAGGGCACTCATATTTATCGAGTGGATGGAAAAGTAACAAGAGTCTCGCACAAAATTCATCCCGCGAGCCAGGTAACACTGGTGCCCTTCTGTAATCCCAGCACTCCGGAGGCTGAGGCAGAAACCCTGTGAGTTCAAGACCAGCCTTAACTACACAGTGAGACACTGTCTCAAGACACACAAAAAGAAAACTAAGAATAGTGGTACCTGCCTGTAATCACGGTACTCAGGAGGCTGAGGCAGGAAGGATCACTGTAAATTTGAGGCCTGCCTATGCTACATAGCAAGGCCCTGTCAAGAGACTTTAATGTTGCATAGCCTTGAAGGGAGTAGTTAACTTCCTTTTAAATATGTAAGAGAATTTCTCATTTTTTTTCTCCTCCTTTCTCATTGTAACACTGATAGTACAGGGCAGGGGATTTGGCTCAGTGGTTCTGCTGCCTGCCTCCCAAGTGCAAGGTCCCAAGTTTGATCCTTGGGACAAAAAAGCATCCAGAGACCCATTTTTAGTTTACCAGGTGCAAAACCCATATAGCAACCTATCTGGGGAATCCTAGTGATTTAATGTGGGGAAACTGACTGCTTGGTAACAGGGAGCCTGAGGCCCACTTCAAGTGGGTCCTCATCTCCAGGAGGGACACTTTCTCTTTTTTGGTAACCGAAGATCGAACTCGGGACCTTGTGCTTGCGAGGCAGGTGCAGTGCCACTGAGCTGAAGTCCTGGCCCTTTGGGGACTATTTCCAAACGCTTATACTCCCACTTTCACTGCCCACTGCTACTCAATACCTCTGCTCTTCAGGGAAACAAATGCACAAAAGAAAAGCAAGAACACTACAGGTTCACCCCTAAGTTCTTCACTCAGCGACTAACACCACCTACCAAGGCTCCACTAAGTCTAAAACGTGCTATGACCTCACAATCCAGTTCCAAGGACAGGCTAAGAGGAATCCGCATTCACTCGCTGGGGTGAAACGGCTTATTTTTATGTATCTCCTAACAGGAGAAGTAATTCATTTTCTAGGGAGGGCAACTCATAACTGTCTTTTTAGTTCAGCCAAAGACTACACTAGGTCACCAAGTTCAAATGAGAAAATGGCCTCTGGGTGAGTGCTAGAGAGAATACAATCCAGTTAATATCTCAGCTTTTTTTCCTTTTCTGAGACAGGGTCTCACTATGTAGTTGAGACTGACCTGGAACTCACTATGTAGCCCAGGCTGATCTCGAACTCACAGCGATCCTCCTGCCTCAGCCTCCCAAGTGCTGGGATTACAGGAATGTGCCGCCATGTGTCTTATTATATATAGATTTTTTTTTTGGTGTTGGGGATCCAAGTCAGGGCCTCACAGGCTAAGCACAAGCTCTACCAACAAGCTCACCCCAAAGCCCTGGTTAGCTTCTCCAGGATGCACTGTCAGTGAGTTAAGTCTGAAACATGCAGCGATCCAACCTTCCTGCACACCCCCGCCACAGGCGGCCGACAGCAGGCAAAGGCAATCGGAGTGTGAGTGACTCTCTGGCCTAGTTATTTGCAAGGCAGTTCATTATATACATGGCGAGATAAAAGCCACCATCACTGAAGACATCTGTAGATATAAAACTTGCTTTTTAATCTATGTAAAATTAACTCTAAGGTATTTGTCAATCACCATAGGTAACAGCTCACACGTGTTCACAGACATGAACGGAAAGGTCACACCAACAACTTTTATGGCTTTCATTAGAGAGAGCTGTGATAGGAAGACAGGAGGATTCCACAGTGACTGGGTGTCACGAAATGAGGGACACAAAGTCTCCTATTTCATTCCCAGGTGCCCTCTTGATGGAGAAACACTTTGGGGGTGAACACAGGGGACCGGTATGGAGTCAAGCAGCTCTGGGAAGCACAGGCGGACAGAGGGTTCTAATAGACACACCATCCACTCAGCCTCCCTCGCTAAGCAGCTGGTTATCTTTACCCACTAACAGGTGAGGCCCAAACTGGCAGAGCTGGAGATGGTTCTGAGGTGCCCACAGCAGAACCTCTGGCCTCTGTATAGCAGTCTGGTGGCCAAGTGCCTCACAGAGACCCTCCTCTCTGGTGCATAAGCAGAGACCACCCTAGGATGTAAGCGCCGACACAGGACTGCCCTGATGGGTTGGGGAATTATCGGAGGGGTTCGCAATGGCTCGATCTTATTTATTTTTAGGAGTTAATATATAACTTCAGGGGCTGGGGATTTAGCTCAGTGGTTCTGCCACCTGCCTTGCAAGCACAAGGACCCGAGTTCAATCTCTGGTCCCCCACCAAAATATATATAAAACTTCTGCACTTCTGAAGTTCTAGTACTAAAGGAAAACTGACACTGCAGGTTCAACGGTGTAATATTCCTAATACCTTTTGTGGTCTAGAACTGCTAAATTAAAAAATCATTCAAACTCCTAAAATGTTATTTTCATATGAATGATGGACAGTGACATTTTAAAAATCAAAAGCAAGTATATGCTAAAAAAAAAAAAGGGACCAAAAGGGATTTGGCAGGCGGGTTAAGCTCATGGGAAGAATTCCTAACAAGAACACCTGTACGACTGTAAGCCTATTCACTTTTCTCCTAAAGATAAATGTACAGACAGACACATAAAACTACTATAATGAAATCTTTCCCGGATTGACGCTATGTCCTTCACCTGGAACAGCTTCCTAAACCCCAACATGGAGAAGTCAGTGGCCAGCTTCCGAGCAGGGTGCTGGTGGGATCTGCGCACACAGGAAGCTCTGCAGCCACCGTCACACGGGCCTTTCGGTGGCCGCTGATGAGTTCCCTGTGCCCTAAGATTTAGAACCCTAAAGTACACTCTCAAACCACCACCCAGAACGCAAATCCAGGGCCCCAGTGCACTGCTGCTGGCTTTTGCCTTAGTCATAACGCCAACTACTTAATTATAATCACAGCTCTAGGAGTCGGTCGACAGCGATCCTGTAACATCTCCTCCTAGTGAATCTTATGTCTTTGGTGTAGGGCAAGCAAGAGTCGACAACGTGTGGCTGCCTGTGAGTTTAAAGACAGCCAGGTTCACCTGCTGTTCTGAGCACCCAAAGGAAAGCGGAAAACGACAGCCCCTTCTGTCAACCACCTCCTAACTTCAGAAAGGATCACGATGTGTCTACGTGACCTGCATCAGGTCGCTGAAGGCTCAAAACACACACACAAACAACACAGACTGGGAGTTGCCTCCAAGTGCCCCTAAATTAAAGTTTTAGAAACTCCTGAGAGGAGCCTGTTTTGATTGTACTCAGTGATTTTAAATTTTGATGGGAAGAGCAAGCCTTCGGAGAAAAGTGACCCTTCCCGAAGAAAAAATCATTTAACTCTTCAGCTCAGCAATCATTCTTTCAAAAACTTTTGTTTCAAATATGTTGCAAACTATAATCTGGAATCAGGAATAATCATTCTCAAATTTATTTTTTTTTAAATTTTTTATTCTTTTTTTTCTTTTTTTTTGGTACCAGGAACTGAACTCAGAACAGCAACACTGAGCTACTTCCTGGGACCTTATATTTTTTCTTGAGACAGGGTGTCATTATGCAGCTCAGGCTGATCTCAGACTTGTAGTTCTCCTGCCTCAGCCTCCAGAGGGCTGGGATTACAGGTGGGCATAACCACCACGCCTGGCTTTCAAAATTCTTTTCTTTTTTTTGGTATCAGGGGATTGAAATCCCGGACCTTAAGCCTGTGAGGCAGGAGGTGGCGCCACTGCGCTAAATCCCCAGTCCCTCAAAATTTTTAAAAACAAACAAACAAACAAAACCCCCAAGATTTCAGAATCCTGCTAGGTACCTAAAAGAATAGTTCATTTTCTAGGAAAGAATTATCTACAACCTATCCAGTAGGGTTATTGCACAGTGGGGCCCACAGGACAATGACTTCCAAGGGCTACTCCTTATATTAAAAAAAAAAAGGCCACAATAAATAGTTCTATATATTTTGCCCCACTCTAATTTGACATGGTAAACACAAACATGAATCTTGCTTAAAAAGAAACTCCTGAGGAAAGAAAGGGATGGAAAACTACCAAGGCCACTGAAGTCAGAAACGACTATCTTCACCGCCACGACTGACACCAGACTGACCACGCTAAGCACACGATGAACCCGTGGCGAGATTACCACAGTTCCACGTCTCCCTCGGATCACAGCCGGTGGCGCTCTGGAGAACCTCCCAGCACAAGGCGAGTCTGGAAAGGGAGTGAGCTGCTGGCGATCTACCCACGTAGCTAGATCTGCGCTCGTCACTAAGGGCTGAGGTGTCATCAGGGAGACGCTAGCAAACCCAATCCTCAGTACATCCCAGTTTTTAGGCCACTGCCTGCCTTGCACAGCCCTTGACATTTGCAGACGGAATCACGCGGGGCCTTTCTTTCCCTTCCCTTCTCTGTTCTGGGCAGCACCAAGTTTCGCTCTGCAGTTAATTCTAAGACCTCCCACCCAGTGGAACCCACGCACACAGTAGTGTGTAGTGCAGAGTGGCTCGAGCTTTAATCCCGCTCACTGTTAAAATGTCAAGTCCTGAGCACACAAATAAAAGCACAGCACCCTAGAATACCTTATTCAGTTTTTCTTCAACGTCGTTGTAACGGGTGAGTCACAACACGCAGACCCTGTGTAAAACTCCAAACACCAAGCGGCACGGTCAGAAGTTTTCCCACTGATGACTGAGCTGACAAGCCGCACCCTGCCTGTTGCAGAGACGGCCGTGGCAGGAAGTTCGTCCGTGTGGAACTGCACGGGTGGCAGGTTTCTCACGGCCTCTGCTTTTCAAAGCATTCACTCTCAATTCTACAATGTTATGCTACAGACAAAACCATCCATTTTATTCCAGGACACATCACCTTAATGAGAATAAAAAGCTTCGTATGCACATACTGCCAATACATTTTAAAAGGCCAAAATTTAACAAGTAGAATAGACAAATTCATCAGACAAGAGATCATAAATTACTTTGGCCGAAAAAAAACCTTTAAAAAAATTCTGGCTCGACATTCTGCTCGCAGGTTTCTGGATCGACGGTGTATGTGGAGAGGGTGTATTGTACAGAAAGGGCGCGCTTTGTTTCTTCCTCTTAAAGGGATCGGAGGACGGTCTAGCCCACTTTCCCGTGGTTACGTAGGAACTACAATGTTCTTAGCTAGCAAAACAAGAAGTGCAAGGTCTGCATTTCCACCCACTCGATGCAAAGCCCCGAGAGCTTCCTGCAAAGTAAAGCCAGCCCGGAGAATCCGGTCAATATCTGTGGCGGGAAAAATTAAGGGTGAAAGAAGGGAAAGACTTGATGAGGGACGGCTGGTAGGCGGTTCCAATTCAAGAAATGGCCTCGCAGTGTCAGGACAGGCATTTTCTCTGGTTTCGGGCCTGTCCGTTACTGGATTCTGCATGCCCCGACCCAGGTCTTTAACCAGTATGAAACCAGGTGGCAAAGACTCAGTGTGCTCAGCAGTCTGACTGAGGGCATCTTCCTCACTGGCTGTGAGACTGGGTGAAGTTTCGACACCTAAGGTGCAGTGTAAGTGATTAGATGATTCAGATGAAGTTATAGTGACAGAAACGCTCTCACTCACTGACTCTCGAGATCCGGGGACACCTTCCTTGTCAGCTGACAGGCCATCACCTGGACGCCGGGAGCCAAAACTTTCTGTGTCTTCTGTTCCAGTGCGAGGCGTAGCGCCGAAGCTTTCCGTCTTCACTGATGCAGATCTGGCCTGGTGACAGGAGACTTGTGGACACAGTTCGCTGTGGGGCGGACAGCCACTCTGAGTCCACCCTTCTGGAAAGTCTGTTTGGCCCTCGGGTGCTGTTTGTGACTGACAGACAACTTTAGATGTGTTTTCTGGAGCTGGCTTACTACTACTGACCAAAAGTTCATGAAGTTCTCTCAAGGCTGCTGATACAGATGAACGAGACTCTTCCGTGGCCCTGACAGAGGGCTGGCAGCCGCCACAGCGACTGAGAGAGGGGAGGCTGCTGCCACAGTCAGGGTTTGTTCCAGGCATCTCAACGTTACTTTCTGGAGGCTGTGAATCCTGAGTGCAAACGGAATTATTCACACTTTCAGGTGAAGGGCCACACTGTGATGCTTCCACTTCCATCAGGGGGTTATCCGGAGTGAGACGAGACGTGGCAGTGTTCTCGACGCTGGCATTCTGACTGCCTGCTGCCTTAAGCACGGCAACTACAGGCCGTTCCACCACATCTAGTTCCATACGCGTTTCTGAATTCGAGGGGCCAAAGCGTCCTGGAGGTAGGAAGCTCTTCTCTGTGCTTGGCAGATCTGCGTTCTGCTGCAGCCCGTCTCCTCTCAGAAAAGCCTTCAAACCAACAATTTGCTGCTGATCCTGTTGCTTCCCTTCAGGAAGTCGAAGGTCCCCCAGGTCACGAAGATGCCCTCGGTCACCAGGAGCCTCCTGCTGTTTATTCCCTGGTTCGGTGTGCTGCCGAAGGCCATTGAGTTGGTGCAGGCTCTGATTTTCTGGGCGACAACCCTTTTTGTCTACAAGCATCAGTGGTTCATGCATCCTAGCAGTGGTGACAGACACACTGGCTTCCTGTCTTGTACGGAGACAAAGTCTGAGGCCCTGGCAGCTTCCTTCAGCAGATTTCTCCAGATTACCTCTAAGGGCCACTTCTTCAGACGCATGAGGCAAAGGCATAGCTGGACCCTGGTCCGCTGAGGAAGCAAGACCAGGGAGCGACTGTAGAGGAAGGAGATCCTTCTGTTCCGAGTTCGTCTGGAATTCAGCTGAAGCCCTCAGAGCCTTTCCAGCTTTAGGTTCCATGCTGCCTGGGTCACTGGGCTCGACAGGGCAGGCTGAGGCAGAGGCAGAGCAAGCGAGCCTCGGAGGGTCACCAATTTCAGGACCTGGTCCTGAGGAATGGGCTGGACGGGCAAGTCCGTCTGAAGTTGGTAATGATGACATTCCCAGTGAGGTAGATTCTTTACCGCTCTTCTCTGTCACAAAAGGGAGAGCAAAAAGATTAATTGGCAGGTAACAGAAGGCCAATAAATTATCAGAGGATACAAATCTAAACAAGATAGAATACAATAAGCCCTTTAATTCTGGTTTCTCTTATACATAGACATGACTTTAAAAACACAAGAATCTTTCTCACTGTGCTAGGCAATTTACCATCCCAGAATCGGGATAAGAAGCAGGGATGTACTGGACAGCACAAGCTCGCTGCGGTCTGCTATGTTTCCATGTAGCAGCTGGGCCCCAGCTCAGGCTGTAGCGCACTGACACATCTCCATTCCCAGTGAGCCTAGAGCTCCAGAAGTTTCTTCAGGCAGGATCGTCCACCATTTGTCCCAAAATTTCCTGGGACACTTTAAATACCGTGCTTGCAATGAGTTCCCCGGGTAATTCTTAAGCACATCACAGATCTTGAGAACCGCTGCAGCATAGTAATTCCACACACTTTTCATATTTCAGATGTAAACACTGAGCTCAGAAGTATAAGAGCAAGTATATGTGTAACAAAGTAGGAATTATAAGGAGAAATAAGAATTCACATGCTTGCAGACTTCCAGGAAAACAGAAGTAAAGCTCAAGATAAAAGGAATTAAATCCCAATCGTCACCCTGCCAAATACTGCAACTTTGAAGGATCCTCAGTTACCCCACTGACAGAGTGCAGTCAAGAACATTTAAGCCCTTTAAGAAGAGAACAGGGAAGTGAACAGTGGAGGGAGATTACAATAGTTTTTCAACAGGGAATGATTTTATTTTTGAGTTGGGGTCTTGCTATATAGTTGAGGCTGGCCTTGAATTCATGGTGATCCTCTGGCCTCAGCCTGCGCTGGGATTACAGACGTGCATCACCATGCCTGGCAGCAATGACTAAATCTAGAGTCACTGCACTTACTGAGCCTCAGATATGATGGCAGACAACACTAGCTCAGGGCAGATACCATACTGATGCCACTAAAACTCAGCTCCAATCCTCCTTCTGACACTGAACAAGTTAAAACTGACCGAAAGCGCTTATTAACAAATTGCTAAAAGACCAATCACAATACACAATGTGGTTAGACGCAGCTAAAAGGCTCTGGGCCCAATGTTAACATCCCACACAGTACCTGATCTTGATGTAAGTCATGAAGCAATGCAGTTATAAATGCAAACAGCTTCAAATCGTTAAAATCAAACGGGTTAACAACACAAGACGACTAAAGCATTGTCAGGAAGTTACCGATTTCTTACAAAAATAATCTTACCTTACTTCTAGGTTAGCAGTAAACAGGAAAACAGTGTGTTTTATTTAAATTATATCCATCAGAATCTAGAAACACAGTCGCTGGTTTTACCAATCTAATCAACAAAACTGATTCTGAAAGATTCAGTTCTGGTCTAATGCTAACAGAAACTGCACTGTAATCCCTGTCAGCAAGAGAGAGCGTGGTAAACACCACCTAGCACTGCTGTACCAGTTGTAACTCGCCAGGCGAGGTGAAGGTCACAGCACTCTCAAGTGACGTCGTACCCACCAGAGAGCAGCACACAGTCAGCCCCCGGACCCGATACGGTCAATTCCATTAGCCTCAGTCCTCACTGTAGCGCAGGACTGGGTCAGTATCATAGAACATTTAGGAGAAGAGGATGAGGATAACGGGCAACTGTGCCTATTTTTAAACTGTCCTTTATAAGGAGTAAAGAGAGAGAGGAGGAGGAAAGAGGGAGAAGAACAAGGGGAGGAAGAGGAAAGGAGAAGTGAGGAGCAGGCAGGGAGAGGTTTTGAGGGTGGGGGTGGGGGCTTCAATGCTATGACTCCAATCACGACCAGCCAGAAATCCCCTAAAGCCCTTATTTTGTGAAAGAAAAGCTCTCCTCATCTTGCCGCATCAGCCAGATCAGCCAGATCAGATCGAGCTGACAACGATCTTGTTTCTACACAGGGAAATGGAAGCAGAATGGATCCTGTCCAGGCCGGGGCAGGGGAGGCAGCCTCAGTTCTTGTGCGAGGACAGCGCCGTGTCAGACCTGCCCAGGTGGCCCGCCGTGTTTCTCTTGGACAGAATGGAAATTTCTGCCCCTACACACAGGAGCAGAACAAGAGCTTCCAGTGTTTCAGAGGAAAGGGACTTAGGAGAAGCACAAATGCACAGGTATCTCCAACGACCGAGTGTTGTGACACCGAATCCTTCACTTGGCGTCCAGGACAGCTGGTCGTCGAGGTAGCTGGGAGGGGACGCGCACGTCTCACCGAGCTCCTCCCTCCCTGGAAACGCCGTGATAATTGGTGACATCTTAAACGGGAACTCATATTTACATATATATGTATGCAAACATACACACAAATGTAAATACCACGGGCCAGTTGTAACCGTGACTGGACAGGGTGAAATGATCGAAGGCAGAAGCTAACGTCCCAAACTGTACAGACAGCACAGACGACAACTGCATGGAAGGGTTAATGCGGCTTCTATAAATACCTGGTCTGGGGCCCACTCCAGCTGCAGTACACACACACTACATGCATCATGGCTTCTGACGCTCTGTTTGGATTAGGAAACAGACAAGCAAACCTGGGTTAACAATGCAAACCACACAGCATGCAGGGGACATCCTCCACTCCTCTGCCATCTTTAAAATTAGGAACCAGTAGGCACCAAGTTGGGGAATATTTATACTGTTTACACAGCCAAAAGATTTGCCGGTTGCTTCAGTTCTCCCACATACATAAAGCAATGTGTCAACTTCAACAGATGATGGGGGTGGGTAATCTCGCTATGTAGCCCAGGCTGGCCTTGAACTCATGCAATCCTCCTGCCTCAGCCTCCTGAGTGTTGGGATTACAGGCGTGCGCCACCATGCCCAGTGATCAACAGATTTATTTATTTATTTGGTACTGGGGATCAAACTCAGAATCTTGTGTTTGTGAGACAGGTGAAGCGCCACTGAGTAAATCCCCAGCCCCATCAATAGATTTTTAATTGAATTCAGAAAGAAATTAATCTCACACATTTATACTCAGAATTTATGAGCAAACAGGTGAAAAAAAGCAGCTTCCTCAGATAACATTAGATGATAAAATCTTATGGCACAGGGCTGGGGACTTAGCTCAGTGGTGTCACCCACCTGCCTTGCAAGAGCAAGGTCCTGAGTTCGATCCCTGGTGCCAAAAATAAAAAGCAAAGAAACCCAAAATGTTATTAAGGGGGGAAAAAAAAAGAAAGAAATATGGTTATATTTCATCTTGACTTACCTGCTTTACTTCTAGTCAGTTTAACATATCAAATATAGCTCCACTCTAAATTCTTTTGGTAGTCCAGGGGACTGAACTCGAGAGCCTCTGCACGGAGCTGTATCCCTAGCCCTAGCTCCGCACCTCTCTAGAGTTGCTCAAACTTCTGATCTCCCTGTCTCAACCTCTCCGAGTACGGGACTGCAGGCGTGTGCTGCCACCCTGGGTGAATCATTTCCCAACTGACAGAAAGTATCTACCAAAGCAAAAGCTCCTCACAAAATCCCTCCACCCATCATGTCTGGAGTTTGGACGTGGGAAGCTGGGTATATGTAACAGGACCTAATTTTGCAGAACTACTTTCACTGTTTAAAGATTAGAAAAATTAGCTCAGCTGTATTTACCAGTCATAAAAGGTTACATGGATAAAGAGCTGCTTTCTTATCTTTGCAAACTGGTACTGAAAACACCTGTGGTATGTACTTCAATCTCCTGAAGTTTCCATAAAATAAGTGGTCAGCAAAGGGTAAGCGTTGCCAGTGGGTCAGAAAACCTGGCTGCCATCAGCTAGTGCTCCTGTAATAGGTAGCACAGAGATGGGGTGGAAAGAAAAGACACCTGAGAATTTTCTATTCCGCATTGACATGTGGCATGACTAAGCTGACAAATTACCCAAAATTAAGCAGGTAGGTCAAACTGATTCACGCTCACCTCATTAGGAAGACTAAAGTTCTCCCTTTCCTTCCAATTACATAAGCTGCAACCAAGACTCCACTTTTTTTTTTTTTTGAGGGGGGGGGGTTCTGAACCAAGGGCTACGCATACACCAGGCTCCGCCTCTGTGCGACATCTCCAGCACCAAACTAAACCGCACCTCACATGCAGCTCTGGGCTGAACAGTGAGAGAGACCTCTTATATTCCGAACACGGCCCGCTCGCAGGACGGCATCTGCTATCCATGCCCGTTCTAGGATCAGGGCTGGATGCTGGAATGTTCTCAAAAAACATGTGGAAGGGCTGGGGATTTAGCTCAGCGGTTCCGCCACCTGCCTCGCAAGTGCAAGGACCTGAGTTCGATCCCCAGTACCAAAAAAAAAAAAAGAGAAAGCAAGAAAGAAAAGAACTGTGTGGCAATAACCAGGCACGGTGGCAAAAGCAGGTAATCCCAGCCATGAGAGGCTGAGGCAGGAGCATCAGAAGTGTGAATCCAACCTGGGCCTCCCAGTGACTTGGTGGAAGCCCACCTCAGAAAGGACTGGGGTTACAGCTCAGTGCGAAGGCCCTAAGTTCTACCCCTGCTACTGGGTGAGAAACAAGTGGCAAACCTGGCTGCTCCTCATCTCTTTTGTCATCAGAAGAAAGGCACTCCTGGACCATCTAACTCTAACACACTTTCCTGTACAAGAAAAAGCAATGTGACACAATCATAACGACGAGGAACTGTGGCTCAAGACTCAAGGCAATTCTCTTTTTTTGGCACCAGGGATTGAACTTGGGACCTTGTGCTTATGAGGAAGGCAGCTCAAAAGGTAA